GTGGCTGAGCTGCTGTCGTTCCCAAACACTTCCACGTTCTTATAATACAGCTAACAGTTGACTGTGGAATATTTAGAGGCGAGGAAATTTCACGACTGGATTTGTTGCACACATGGCATCCTATCACACAGTTCCATGTTGGAAGTCACTGAGCTCCTGAGAGCGACCCATTCTTTCACAAATGTTTGTAAAAACAGTCTGCATGCCTAGGTACTTGAGTTTATACACCTGTGGCCATGGAAGTGATTGGAACACCTGATTCTCATTATTTGGATGGGTGAGCGAATACTTTTGGCAATATAGTGTATGTGCTAGTCATTCCCGACTCTAGGGGGCGGTGCTCATCTCCGTTTCAAAGCCGAAAAGCCAGCGCTGTCCGAAGACGTCTCCGTTAGCTGGCATGACTAAACGCCAAAGGCGCAGGGAATACTATTACCTTCCCACCAAAGTGGTCCCTATTTTTCTACTTGCATTTTTATGTGCCTTCTAACTGCTAGGTTGGCAGAAGCTGGGACAAGTAATGGGAGATCACTCCATTTTGTGGCGCTAGGGATTCGAACAGCTCACCTTTCTGATCGACAAGCTCAGCATCTGAGAGAGAGAAAGAGAGAGAGAGAGATGGACATAGATGAGATATAACATTAGAGTTACATTATATGTATGCAAATGTACATATGTATTCTTTTGCCTTTTTTAGGTTTTTTAAATTATTTTAAATTATTTTTATTAAATTTCTTTATTTTTCTGAACATAAATTATTCTCCTGATTTTTCACACATTATCTTGCAAACATCTCTCTTCAATTTGGCAGATATCCATTTTATAACAACCATGAGCCTCTTGTTCGTTATGTACTTTAACAGGAACATGATGGAACGCATGATGTTGGCATTGTTTTATTTTATTTTGACAGGAAGAGGCTTTTGACTGTGAAGCAGCTTACCATATGCAATTTAGCTCTTCATGACTAACAACCTTTCCTGATTATCCTTCTGTTTTATGTGCTGTAGAAAGTTTTTGCCATTGAACTTCTACAAGCTGACAAAGTTTCTAAGCTCTTTTTTTCTTAACAAATCCATTTACAGTAAACATTTAAGAGAATGCTGCTCATATAAGCTAGGCAACAGCTCAGTAACTGTTAATGTGGCATACTGTGTTCCTAAATAAATTTATATTCGGAATCTGTTGGGAGTTCAAATTGAATAGATATAGGAATCCATACGTCTTACAAATAGGATAGTTCCAAAAGTTACCCATTTTGGTCTATTTTAAGATCAAAAGTAAATTGGAAATTTGGATTATAACATGACTAATGGATTTATAGTATATGGTAGTATGGATATACATTTATATGGCTTTATCTGCTGTATAAATTGTAGAAGTAATGTTGACAATCTCAAAAAAACCCACTTTCAGCTGTCCTAGGAACATCTTTGAGAGATATCTTATATAATTCATTTTAAAATGCTGCTACTGTCATAAAAGTTGCATTGGAATTTTAGAACTGTCACCACAGTAATCAAGCTTGTCCTTGATGTCTTTAAATTCTTTAAATCCTTTGAATTCAGGACAACTTCTATGAGCTTATTTTAAGAGTACAACCAAAATAGTGTGAAATACTAAGGAACCAAAGTTTTACAGTTTCTTTTAAAATTCTGCATTCATTCATCTCTAAATGAATATGGTTTGAATGATAACAGCAGGTCTCTACAAGGTTCCAGTTCTAATTTTTATGCCCAATCAATCTAAATTTGCCCAAGGAAATATATATTCGGTACAGGTACTGTATACATTAAGTACTTCAATATTTTATTTTCTATGTATAAAATCCCATTACATCTCTGCTGTTAATTGAAGAATTATCCATATGCCACCCCTTGTGCAGAAACAGGTGGGTAGCATCTTTCATATTGCTCTGACACAAACATAGCCCTCTAGATTGTTTTTAGGAGCCCCAGAGTAGCAGAATCATCATAAGGATATTTCTTCCATTTCTTTTTATGATTAAAATACTATCATCTTCTACTCCAGGCAGAGCCAATTAGGACAGGATCCCTGTCATTAACAACAATTGTTAGTAATATGGGAATCATTAGAATTCCGTCTCAGTTGTCAAGATGGCAGGAATGAGCAAAGCTCGGCCCTTTTCTTCATGCATGAGATGTACATGAAAGAAGGGTTTGGCTTTGATTGCATGGATGCCTCTGTCTTCTTTCCAGGACTAAGGAGTGGCTTGCTTTGTCTTTCAAAGCCTCTGTTTAGAAGTGTAGATATATTGCATGGAAAGAGTTCTTGTCTGATTTTGTTCATGAGATTGATATAAATTTTGTATTAAATAGGAGTTGGTTATCAATTGTTGTTTTGGAAATCTATAATGTTCTTTTAACTTTTGTAAATTCTCTCTGGATTTTTTCCCGTCGGCAACTATCTAAGGTTCCTTTCTCAGCACTTTCAAGAGGTTAAAATGTTTTATAGTTTGCTAATGTCACAGTCCTATATATACCGTATATACTCGAGTATAGGCCGGCCCGAATATAAGCCGAGGCACCTAATTTTACCACAAAAAACTGGAAAAGTTATTGACTCGAGTATAAGCCTAGGGTGGGAAATGCAGCAGCTACC